CTTGCCACTGGATCCGGATGGGAAGGGACGAGAGAGTGAGGTCGACGACTCGCGCAACTCTTCCTCACTATAATCCAAGTCCAGCGCATGTCACGACATCAACCAAAGTCCTGCGGCGATAAGCCGATGGCAGTGCAGTAGGTGTGGACATCACTGGAAGCTGTAGTCAAAAGCCTGCACGTAGGCGGTCCAGGACACAGGGTCGTTTTTCAACTGATGAGACAGCAGGGGGAGTCCGGCAGCATCCTGGATGACTGAGCAGCCCTTTTTAGGTACGCTCTGCTCACCTCAATTGAGGAGGGGGCTAGAAAAGGTGCCCTAAACATAGCCTGTCTCAAATCCACTCTGGCTAGCAAACCGCGGCTGGCGGAGGTCCCACATAGCGGTCGAACAAATAAAAAATCGAAATTTAAGGTTCTTAAATTGGGCACCTGGAACATAAGAACTCTTATGGATGGCTCGAGAACAGACAGACCGGAGCGTAGAACTGCACTTATTGCAAAAGAGCTGGCAAGGTACCACTTGGATATAGTTGCACTCAGTGAGACTCTCTTAGCTGACAAGGGTCAACTATCTGAAGTAGGCACAGGATATACGTTTTACTGGAGTGGTCGTAACACCGATGAATGGCGCAAAGCAGGAGTAGGCTTTGCTATCCGATCTGATCTGGCTCGTACTTTACCACATATGCCCGAAGGTATCAATGACCGTCTGATGATGCTGCGACTACCGTTAACGAACAATAAGAACATGACGCTCATAAGTGCCTATGCTCCAACGATGACTAATCAAGACGAAACAAAGGACATGTTTTACAAAGACCTCGAGTCTGTCATCACTTCCGTTCCAAGGTACGATAGGCTAGTCATTCTTGGTGACTTCAACGCACGTGTAGGCTCAGATCATGTGACCTGGGAGGGTGTGGTTGGGAAGCATGGTATTGGAACGTGCAACAGCAACGGCCTACTGCTACTCCGAACATGCACCATCCATGACTTGACCATCAGGAATACTCTCTTTCACTTGCTCACTCGCAACAGGACATCCTGGCTGCACCCGCGTTCAAAACATTGGCACCTGATCGACTATGTCATTACTCGAAAGAATGATGCGCGCGACATGAGGGTAACAAAAGCCGTGTGTGGGGCAGAGTGCTGGACTGACCACCCTTTGATCATTTCCAGACTGGCTGTAAGAGTTGTGCCATGGAGAAGACCTCAAGGTCAAAAAATGTTAAGGAGATTGAATGTTGCCCGGCTGAAGATTCCTGAAGTTGCTGAGCCGTTTAGGAAGGAACTGGAATATACCATCACGAATGCCATTGCAGATGCTGATGCTGATCCT